TTTTTTTTTTTTTTTTTTTTTTTTTTTTTTTTTTTTTTTTTTTTTTTGGCAGAGTTATGTTTGATACCACTCGTAGACATGAACAAGGTGTTGATCGGCTCATCTAACTGAATAAGCGTATTATCCAAAGATGTCAAAGTATTCCTTTAAAATCTTAATTATTTTAAATTATATAATTTTTTTTTTTTAATTATTTCAATATTTTTGTATGCTTTGTATAAGTCAACACTCTGTTTGGTTGTTGTGATTAATGAGTTATCTTTCTAAGAATAGCTTACAGCATAAAGAGTAGTTTTATTGTGAAACGGACTTTTGGGGCTTCCTCGCAGGCACCATATACAGCACTGTATAAAATAAATAGTGTGAAAAAGAAAAATGTACCAAAAAGATCAAATAAATGAATGTGTGAAAAAGAGCCATATATGAGATGTACTGTGCTCCTCTCCACAGGTACTGGCTGAGATGTGTCAGAGTGGTTATAAGGATGCCCTGCGCTTCCTTGAGGACAACAGTGAGTATCTTACTGCCGAGTTACCATGGTGACTCTGGAATAAGCTGGCCTCGCTACGATTCGTCCCTATCAGTCTCCAGCTTAACCTTCGGACTGTGTAAACTGATGTCACGTTTCGTGTTTGCCAGACCTGCTGATGCTGGATCACCCGACCTCGGGCCCTGCCCTGCCAGAGAGCCCGCCCCCTTGCTGCTCCAAGCACACGGAAACCACCAAGGAGTGGGTGCTCCGGAGGCTCCGCCTACTGCGAAAACAGCACTGGTGGCTGGATGAGCAGATGGATCTGCCCACGCCCATCAAGAAAGGTGCGGTTTCATGACAGATTGTAGGATTTCAGCAGTGACAATGCACTCTGTGCTCTGTAAAGTGTCAACATGTTAACATGCTCCTGTGTGTCTGCCAGTGTTTTGCGAGGCCTGCCAAGACAAACCTGGCCTGTATGCCAAGGTGTCCAATATGCTGCCAGTGAGAGTGGCCTCCTACATGCTCATGCCATACACACTTCCTGTACAGTCGGCCTACTCAGTGGCCCAGAGGTGAGCGCAGATCTAATCATTGTCAATAGCTCAAATTTAAAGGGACAGTTAGTGCTACTTATCAAACTAGTTTCAGTGTGAGTTGCAGAGTTTTGGAGATGTAGGTCGTTGAGATGTCTGCCATCTCTCTGGAACTAGATGGCACTCGGCCTTGTGGTGCTCGAAGCGCCAAACGTTTTCCGTCACAAGCCTCTAATCGGTGAGTCGGTGCACGCTTCCTTCTGTGACGGGTGTATTTCAGTAGAAAGAAAATAGTATGAAACTGCTCACAACAATGTTTCTTTGGTAGAGGGAGTGCATTGTCCCATCCCAAAATAACTTCCGTCCAAATCCCATGATGGAGTAAAGAAAATCCTATCCCATCCCTGTGTCTATTCCTATCAGAACTGTATATTTAAATATATAAACTAGAGATTGCAACTTTCTTGGCCGATTCTATTTTTTTTTTTTGTAAGAACTATGCTTGATGGCAGACATTATTTTTAGCTTTTTCTTATTGGAAAATTCAATTGTATACTCATAAATTATGAACATGTAAATAGTATTTACATATCAGAGAGGATTCCATACTGTGTATGTAGGCATTTTATCTATCTAAACATATATTTTTTTTTTGTCTATTTATTTAAACAAAACTATTTATGAATCAGCATCTGTTTACAAAAATGTAGGTGTGTGTGTATTATAATATATTTACTCCCACTCCTGTGACCAGTAGTCCGTTACTGTCTGTGATGCTGTGCGTGAACCATCGTGCAGCTTGTGGATGTAAATTTGACCCACACAGACTCGGCTATATCAGAGACTGTTGTTATGATTCCCGTCCCACCCGCCCCCGTTGACTTTTTTTCCCCCTGTCCCTTTGCAAAAAAAAAAACCGCCAGCCTCGAATCGGTTGGTTATCTTGAGTAACCGGGTCATGATTTCTAGAAAAAGACATTGATGTTGAGTTTTTCAAATGTATCTTTTGTTGCTTTGAGAGCCACAAGCCGAGTGCCATTGACTTCCATTATATTGGAGAGAAGGGAGACATCTCTACAGCCAATATCTCCAACGCTCTTCACAATCACACCGGCACAGTATAGATTGATATATAGCACTACAGGTAAGAGAACAAATATGTACTTTGATGATTTAGGGGTGAACTGTCCCTTTAAGCAAGAGAGTTCTGCACTTGAAACTCATTTTCCACTCCTCTTGTAAAACATGAATTGAAAACATCAGTTTATTGTTTGTCTATTGTATCATGGGTGCTGTGCCCCAGGTTTGTGGAGTGGATCCCAGAGGTGCCGGACGATATGCGCTGGCTATTTGGGGTGGCAGGTGACATGTACCAACAAGCCTGGAAAGGAGCTCCAGCCAACCCCATCAGGTGATGGATGATTTTTCACACAGTGTTGTGGTTTCAGTCATACAGTTATCCACCAGCAAATTACAAACCAGGGAGTTGAATATGAAAACTATGTAAAATTACTAGTGCTGGGCAACGATTAAAATATTTAATCGCGATTAATTGCATGGATTTTTTTACGATTAATCGCATTGTTATGGCAAAGTTCAATAATGAATTCAAAAGTAGTGTATTGCGCACTTTTATTTTAAAAGTACTGCTATATGAATAAAATGGCAATAACATTTGGTTCACGAGATGCAGGTAGCATGTTTTATACTTAATGTGAATATAATTCATACTTTGTTGGCATCTTATTCTGAAAACCGGATGTTCGTCTGAAGAAACCGGATGTTGTCTCATGTTAATCTTTCCGCTAACTTTCAAAGTCCTTCGCTCACTCCCGTTACTGTGCCGTTTAAATGCGTTTACCATGAATTTCAGCATACAAAAAAAATTATAATAAATTTTAAAAATGCATTAACGCGCGATAAAATAATTGTCGGCGTTAATTAATGAATGCGTTAACGGGTTAACTTGCCCAGCACTAAAAATCACTAGTGCTGGGCAAGTTAACGCGTTATTAACGCATTCATTAATTGACGCCGACAATTATTTTATAGCGCGTTAACGCATTTTTTTATTTTGAAAGTCCGTGGAGGAAGTCTTCAGCAGACTACGTTGATGCAGCTTGTTTAGATAAACAAAAGCAAGACAAGCGGCCTTACAACGTGCACCAGCTGTTGCTCTGCCTGGAGACTACTGCGGTAAAGTCAGCAGACACTTACATTTTAGTGCACCTGTATGCTGAAATTCACGGTAAATGCATTCAAGCGGCACAGGTCGGGAGCGAGCGAAGGACTTTGAAAGTTATCAGAAAGATTAGCGTGAGACAACATCCGGTTTCTTCAGACGAACATCCGGTTTTCAGAATAAGATGGCAACAAAGTATGAATTATATTCACATTAAGTATAAAACATGTTACCTGTATCTCGTGAGTTAAAGGGAAAATATACATATGATATAAGAATGATATAATATAAGCAATATGATCGTTACTGTGTAAAGAGAATACTGCTGTTAAAAAGCACCTTATTTGTTTTAATAAGTGTTTGCAAACCAAATGTTATTGCCCTTTTGTTCATATAGCAGTACTTTTAAAATAAAAGTGCGCAATACACTACTTTTGAATTCATTATTGAACTTTGTCATAACAATGCGATTAATCGCAAAAAATCCATGCGATTAAATATTTTAATCGTTGCCCAGCACTAAAAATTACATAACAATACATGGAACTAAATACAGTACATATGAAAATAATGGAATGATTACAAATATAAATATATAATATAAAAAATTATAGTAAGGAGCGGTTACTCAGGCCCCATTTACACTTGAGATTTAAGACTCTTTCATTTACACATACATGTAAAAGGCAACTGAAGCTGTTTGTTAACTGACAAGAACACCAAAAGAAGAAGAGCTCCTGCACTGTTGCAGCTTGGCTACCACAATAAAAGTAAAGCTAGCGTTAGCTAACAGCTAACCGTGAGCTAACACAACGCATGAATGAATCATATTTGTGAACATCGAGCGACACAAATGTTTTAACGTCTTCATGGGCAATAACTCTCATGGCGCTGCCATCAACACTCAGCACTCGGAATCGACTTTAGTGGCTGAGTTTTTCGTACATGCATAAGGAATTTTACTTTTATGTATTTAATTTGTTTTAGCAATGACTTTGGAAGATATATTTCCACTAACTTTGTGAAGTTTAACAGGAGTTTTAAAAGAGTCAGTAGAATGTAAGTTAAAGAGGTGTCGGTACTTAATGTCCCTAATCCGGTTAACTAAAGTTAAAAGCACTCAAACCCAAAGTTTTCTATTCGGTCATCTTTACTGGCTAATTCTTGGCCCTCACTAACTAACAGAGTCTTACAGATGTCAAACTGACCCAAAACAGGATGACGCAGAACAAAGTAACGTTTGGGTCCGAACAAACAAAGATTACCCGGAGTTACATCTCGCATGTTGGAATCTCTCTGCCTTGTCACACGTTGTTTCCAACAGAGAGACTAAGTCCCGCCCCTTCCAGTTAACCACTATGGGAACTTATTTCGGAAAAATTATGTACGGCAGTCAATGGCTGAAGAAAAATTATTAATTGAGCCATGAATTAGACATATGACGTCCGTCAATTTAAAAGATAATTTTGCACGTCAAGAAAGTAGCATTTTGTTGTAAAACGGTTAAAGTATAAGACTGTGAAAATAGATAATTAGAAAGACGCATCCAAAAGACTCTCGCTGTGTGTTTTCGCATCGGGATCTACTCAACGAGTCATGCTCGTTCTTTCGCTTCCCGGCTGATAAAAAGAGTCGCTGGTTAAAACATATCAGGTAAGATAGCATGACATTTGTGCGTGAAACATAGCTTAGCTAGCTAGCCAAGGCAACCGCCGTGCTGCTGACGTACATTGTGCGAGACGAGAGATGTAGTTCACTGTTCAGTTTAACAAAAACTAAATGATACTACGACAAACTGAGACTTTCTTGACTTGCAAAATTATATATTAAATTGACAAACATCACATGTGTAATTCATGGCACAATTCATGTGGGATTGAAAAAATATTTGTCTCTTGCTTTTGACAACTTTTTTACAAAATAAAGTCCAATTGGGGGACACCGCACGGTGCGTGACTGCCTCCCTTTTGCTTACACGCACATATGTGAAACTAATTCTGTGTTATTGACCTCGCAGTGAGCTGGGCCTGAGGAAATGCTTGAGCGCGCCGCCTCCACCTACAGAGTGTGACACACCAATGGAAAGAGACAACCTGCCTGCTCTCTCCTCCCTAGACCTCCACGACAGCTACTGGGAGATCCCCAAATCTACCTCCTCTTCGTCCCACCTTCATCCTCACATTGCCCCCTTGTCTCCGCAGCAGGTCTGCTTCTTTATCGGCTCGCAGGATGAACCTCAGCAGTAAATTGATTCATGCCTGCACTTTGACAATGATGGGTTTAAATTTTACACATCGGGTGCTTTTGAACCAATGAGCTATGGTGCGTACATGTCTCAAGGAGACGCACATTTATCTCTGACTCTGAATACTCCAGGCAGCACCGACTGTATTATATTTTACCGAGTGCTCTGGAACTCACTCAGGATCACAGATGTGTTTTATGATCTGTTTTGATGTACAGTGTCTAGTTTTACACTCTAATGGCAAACCTACCTACAAGTAGCATTCATTCCTCATTCCAACATAGTTAATTGTCTGTTGATGTTCACATCTGTGTGATATCTCCAGGTGCCATACAACCACTTTTTAGGCAACAAGATGCAACGTCTTGGAGGTCTCATCTTAAATTCTCCACAAATCTGCCCAGTTTTGTTTTTGACAAGGGACGTACAGCTAGAACTCAGCCCTGCTGCCGATAGAAATTATGGCCAAAGCTACAACAAGTTTTAATTAACTGAAGTGTCCTTGAAACTGAAATGATGTCAAAGACTGAACTCTAAATATTGAGACAAATCTTACCAAATATGACAAATTCACTTTACTCACAGATCACTAACTTTCAAGGGTTCCTCTCATTTCCCGATTTTGTACCTCCTCGTCTAGGAGACTTGCCGGAGGAGTTATAAGAGAGGCCTGTTGCCTCAACTGCTCGCATCTCCTCTGCTCTCATCTACTGTGGGCGGGACTAACGAGGAAAGGAATCGTACATGTACAAAACTGGGAAATGGGAAAGACCTTCTGTATAAATTCAGCAACTAGACCTCCACAATGGTGTCAGGTGGCTGCTGGGAAACGTTTTGACAACTACAAAGCCTCTGTAGAGGTTATTGTTATTGCCAAAATGAAACACTGATGCTGACTGTGCTGATCAAAAGAGTGCAACCAGTGTTGATGTAATTCCTCAAGTTGTAAATCTGTTTGACATAACTTTTCACTTGAATGTAAAGTTGTTATTGCACTGTGATAGTCTCTTAGGATTAAACCATATTTGAAAACAATTGTTTTGTTTATTGGAGTGTCCTGCACCTGCACTAAGTGGTGACACAACAATATGCCAGTATGTGGTGGATATTGAGCAGTCGTTCTCAAAGACTGGGTTGGGACCCACACGTTGGTCCCAGGAGATTTTATTAGGGTCGCCAAATAAATTATCGGAACTTCTTCCCTATAGTCTTTTACTTAACATTTATATCTGCAGTACACCTTCGAGCCACATGAGGGAGCCTAAATGTTAGTATTGTTCTGATAATTGGAGTCTACTTATAACATTGAATCTAATATGAAAGGTTAGCGTACATTCTGTTTATTTTACTGATGAGAGGAAATTAAAAAAAATGAAATAGCCTGTTAACTCCACATAAATGTAGTCATGGTTTCTTTTATAAATCATTTAACGTGTCCGTTTTCAATAACTCATGCATCAAACAAAGCCGTGGTTTATCAAATGTATCTCTTCAAGATGATGAGGTGATGCAGAAATGGCAGTAAAAATGTTAAGGATTGATCATTTACATACAAATCTCAAATCGTGTCTAAATCGCTACCCTAAATGTGGGAAAATGTACCAGACCCGTCATCACCTGAACCATACCAGGTCAATAGCTAACCTTAACCATATACAAGGTCAATAGCTAACCTTAACCATATACAAGGTCAATAGCTAACCTTAACCATTCACCTTTCAACCATTTGAAATCAAAACCTAAACTTAACCATTAGAGGTCAATTGCTTACATTAACTATTTAAGTTTGAGGCCTAACCTTAACCATTCAACGTCAATAACTAACCATAAACATTCAACGTCATTACCTAAACTTAACCATTTGACGTCAGTAGCTAACCTCTACCAATTCGGGAGAGTTTCGCAAATTGAGGGTTACCATCTAGACACAACCTTTTGTCTGCCACTGTCTGAAACCAAGGACCCATTGCTTCTTTACAGGGACGTACTATGCAAAATTTACTTTTTCATTGCTTTTCAACATCATATGTGTCACGATCAGGCTTTGCCCTGTGTGTTCTGTGTCTTTGTTTCTTTCTGTAGCTCCTCACTCACCTAATCAGTTCATTCAGTGCACCTGCCAGTCACACTCAGCTCATTACTCTCACCTGCTCACTCTGCCTCCTTCACTATTTAAACCCTTACCGCACACACACCCACTGCCATATCATTGTTTGTTTTCCGACCTACCCGCCCGTTTTGCTCGTCCTGTTCCCAGTTTTCCAGTCTGCCTGTTCTGCCTTTTCCTGCCGGATTTTCCCCCTCGTCTTTTGTCTTGTCCCTGGATTCCCTGTTTGTTTTTGGTTATCATTAAAACCTTTTTCACTACACCTGACTGTCTGCGTTTGAGTCCTCACCATGCCCCGTGACAATATGCGTCTCTTTTTAAAGTGTGAGAAACGATTATCCTCTGTTTTTCTCCCACTCCATCCATCAAAAAACGTGCTTGATATGGGGGTTCATTTTCCATTGATCCACCTACAGCTTGGTGACCGTCCCTGCCTGCAGAGTGCCAACTGAATTAACCTTGTTGTCCGCCAATGGCATTTCTCGCTATTGCGGACCTGGCAGGAAAAGCAAACAAATCACACGTTCTTTTGTTGGCTGCAATAACCAACAGAAAAGCTTTCATGTAGGCTCCTCCCATCATCTGAGGATGTGATACCTCATTTTTAAAGTGTAAAAACAACAAAATGAGAAAAATGTGTTTTTGAACAATAAGTATGAACCTGAATATTTGCATATGTGTCGCCTTTAAAATAATGGGTTAAAATGTACAGTAGCATTTGGTTTTCAATTATGTATTGTTTTACTTTATTTTATTTTTAACAGCTCACCAGTTTATCACATTTCTATTCTTCAGAAGAAAAGTGCTTTAATTACCCATTCACACATGCATTCAGTAATGGTAGTATGGCCAGACAAGGTGTCCATCAGGATGTAATCTATATGCTCATGCACACACACACACACACACACTACTCCATCCGCTACTCCACATCCGCCACCTTACAGGCCTGCATTAAGGTGGCCATTCACACTATCAACCCCACCCCAGCATATCCATTATCCACGCACCCAGCCCATCATCTGGTTCTGCCTCTCTGATTTGACGCAAGTCGTCATTTATGTTTTTCAATAATTGTTTGAGGGATTCATTGTTTCGTCCTAGCCTCCTTATCCTCCTTCTCCTGGGAAAGCATTCTCTCCATCTCACATGGTTTGAGACGCATCTCCCTTTTCTGGTCCTTCTCTATTTGGAGCATTTTGTTTAGCTCCTGAATGTGGTGTCGGAGGGATTCAATGTTTTGTACTATAGCCTCCTTCTCCTTCTCATCCTGAGAAAGCGTACTCTCCATCTCAAAGGCTTTGAGATGCAGAAGTGCTTCATCCTTTCCAACGGATCTGAAAAGCATCTCTTCCTTCTGGTCCTTTTCTATTTGCAGCATTTCCTTCAGCTCCTGAATCCAGCATTCAAAAAGGAAAGTGTTTTGCCTTCTCCTAAAGTCCCTTTGGAGAACATTTTTGGATCGGCACACATATTCCGATGTTTCTGCTAAGGACCTTGTGCTGACAGAGAATGGTGTCAACTCTGTGGAGACAACCAGGGATTTCCAAAGTGTGGGTCTGTGCCATTTTTCTTCAAATGACCTGTCTCTCTTGTTTAAAATATTTTGCTGGCGTTAATTAATTATGTAAGTCACAAAGAGGCTGTATTACAGTTTTTGTGAGTTAAACTAAATCACAATTTTTCGCACACTTTTTTTTGTACGCAAATAGATATTCTAAATCAACCAGGACTGAAATCTAAAAGATCGCCACATTGAAGTATACCCGAATACAGATTGTGTGAGCTTCTGGACACAAAAATGTTTTCTATATCTTCTGACATTATTGGAGCGACGTGTCCATGCCTTAAGGACTGATGGCGTCATTCGTCTCTATGACGCACAGGTACTGTTGATGCGCGTCCCATGCCGGAAATTGTACTTTCCCACATTGTTTTGTTTAGCCCCATCTAACGTGCTTAAGCAATTCATTTTAGTCTAATGTGTTTTTCTGAAAATATTTCATCCATCACATCTGTTGGGTTACGGTAGGTTTTGCGCATGCTCACCACAAACATCAGCCGAAAGGAAGAGGATGGCGGAGGATGGGAGGGATGAGTCGCTGGCCACTGACGATGAGCCAGACCACACAGTTGCAGACGGGAGCAACAGCCTGAACAACAGCCTGAACAACACGGTAAAACAGTAGCTTCCCCTTCCCCTTTTAGTCAAACTGGTTTTGCCATTAGAGGAAATAGACGTTGTTTTAACGTGACAGCTTCAGTTTAAAGCTAGCTTAAATGTTTCATAGCTACAAGCTAACTGGAAGAATGCTTGATTGATTTGGCACAATTCAGAGAACGTTAATATGTTTAACCGTTTCAATGTCTTCGTCACAATGGACTCTGAGCTCCTGTGTGACTCACCCAGTCTACTGTTACTTTCACGCTAACATTAGCTTGCTTAATAAATTGTGTTTCATAGTTCATGTGGACAGCTGTTAGCTAACGTCAGTAGCCTAACTCTACAAAAGAAAGGTGAAACACGAATGTGCAGACTAGTGGGAACAACGACTCAAGTGTCTCATAGAGGTTGGTACTGATGCTGTGTGATGTGACGGTTCAGATGGTGGAAGAGGGCTCCACTCTCCTGCACACAATGGAGATCTGTGTTGCTGAGGCTGAGAGAAGGAACGGCAAAAACACCGTAAACATGCAGGAGACGTTCACTGTGTACCTCGTGGAAACACGGTGAGAAAAGCCCCCCCCCCCTCTTTATTATTTGACAGGAAGTGCTGTGGCTTGAGCTGAGATGGTTCGATATCTTTACTCCATATTGTTATAGCTCTGCGGTGCATGAATGTTGTCACTGTGCTAAAACAACGTGTACTTTTTGTCCCCTGTGACTCTTAAAGGCCAATGGATGCAGTTGCCGAAGGTCGCAACCCGGCCCCGGACTCCCTGTGGAGGAGATACAGTGAATTTGAGCTGCTGCGGAACTACCTGTTAGTTACTCATCCATACATCGTGGTACCCCCTCTGCCTGAGAAGAGGGTGAGTTCAGTGTCCCTCTGCTTTCCCAACCCCTGTTTAGTGACACGCGGAGGATTGCGGCCTTGCTTTGTGTCCTTCAAGAAACGTCTAATATAATGTGGCAGTACAAGAATAAACTGGATGAGAACCCACCAATGGCTTCTGGCAAACTTCTGGTAAATTAAGTCCTCCAAAATCAACCATTATGGAGCTTGATTTCTTGTTTGTTTGCTCCTTTTATTTTGAAACGAGCTGCCACAGAGTTATTAGGTTGGATAGAAAACAGCTGCCAACTAGGGTGGGAAATGAAAACATCTATGATAGACTAGTTAGTTTTAAGTTACAGGGAACTTGATTAAAAGACCTTGACTAATAAAGTTAGTGTTAATAATGAGATCAATAAGCAAGGCTAACACCAGGCCAGGTCCATGATTTTGTAAAGGTAGAATAGTGGCTTATCTCCAAGGCTTTTCTGGAGGTTTTTATAGAAGTAATCGGCACACGCTTTAGTCATTTCAATGGCTTATAGTGTGGAAGACAGGGAGAATGGTTAAACTCTATGCATTTAAAAAATGATCGACTGAAGTAAAGAAAAAGCACCAATGTCAAGCGAGAAGTTGAATTGCAGGCAGTCTCTCTGTTCTCTTGCCTGCAGGCAGAGTTCGTGTGGCACAAGCTGTCGGCAGACAACATGGACCCAGACTTTGTGGAGCGTCGCCGGGTCGGGCTGGAGAACTTCCTGCTTCGTGTTGCATCACATCCAGTCCTCTCCAATGACAAGATCCTCCACCACTTCCTCACTGAGGTACGTGCTGCTGCTCCAGCTCAGTCAAGCAGGGCTGTCAATGGTCAAAAGTTAAATACATATTCGAATAGTAAAAACAAAACAGATGTTCAAATACGAAAATCAATATTCGATTGTGAAAAAGAATCAGCACTGTCTGTCTGCCTCATGCATGAGGAGAGTCACACAACGTCACTTTCAGTAGTTGAAAATTAAATGTAATGTTAGGTCAAGCTGAGCTTGATGCTTGTACTTTTTAAACAGAAAACACTTGTTTTATATTGTGATATATACAACAAGAAGGAAACTTCCGGCCGATCTCCCTGCAGCTAGCTGCCACCCTATTTAGGGTTCCTCATCCATTGCAGCACTTTTTAAAGGGAGTGACAGAAATAAATAGGCCCAATCCCAGTGTCCTCCCTAAGGCCTTAAACCCTGAACCCTCAGAGACTGAACTGACTCACCTGGTAAATAGTTATGTGTGAGCTTGAGCACTTTACTTCAACATGTCACGTTACCATAACATCATAATATGGTATGTACATTTGCGGATGTGTTAGGTGCTTAGTTAACCACTGCACATGTGTGTAAGGCAGTCGTTCTAGAGCAGTGTAATGGCAGTAGTTGCTGTTGTTGACATTGAGCTAAAGTTTCAGTAAAAGTCTTAAACATGTACAGTTCAATCAGGAGAGACAAGTGAATGATTACTAGTTAACATTTATTATGACAGATGCTGCGTTAATGAGTTACACAGAAATTCTTGTGATCAAGTTGTGATTGCCCTGGCAACAATACAAATCCCCCCGTGGAGTCCAGACAATGGTGGTGATGGTGGCTGATGAGGTTGATAGAATGATGAAGCTGCAAAGATTTGGCAGAGATGGGGAGGTGGAGGGTTGCGTAACAGCAGCTTGAACGTACTGAAGGTAGAGAGACAATCATATTTAAGAGAGACAGCGGCAAGATGATAGGCTAACGATGTCCTTGTGGCGTTGTGCTATTGGCTAGAGAGACCAGCTGATCTCAACAGCTGATCATGAATGACAGCAAGGATATAATGAGTGTGCCTGCATGAGGAGTGATGGCAGATGTATGGTAAATAAACTACGGACTTAGGCATGCAAGAGTATAGTCTTCCTGTCTGAACTTACACTAGAGCTTTATTTGTCGCTGGAGTTATTGAGCATGTTGTATACTTTTTACTGCCTGATTTGAACATCTTCCAGGCTCACGGTATGAGAAGTAATAGTCAAATGTTTGATGAATAAAGTTGTGTGATATCGTCTCTGCTTGCATTCCTGTGATTTTATCTATCATCGTGAATCCTTAATGTTTGTGTAGACTTAATATGACAGGCTGAACACATCTGCAGTTCTTTGTTTACCTTTTTTTTTTTTTACGCCTCCAGGCTTCCCCTGGTTACCCCATGTTTAACATCACATTGCAATGAATTGTGGGTAATTCCCTTGGGTAAAATATGCAGACTTACAGAAAGTCTTCATAAAGGGCTCAAAATATCTGCAAGAAAGCCCCCAAACAGTCGAGGATTTGACAGTGGGACAGCTCTAAATCCTCACGGACTTTGCAGGAGCGCCCCTCAAAGGGATTGGGCCATAGGATCAGGATCTCTGATAAAAGTTCAAAACGGCTCTACACAGTGCATAGTTCACTGGAGGCCAGTAAGACACGGTGTCATGAACATAATGTTATGTGGTGGTGTAGTAGATGGACCCAAACGCATGCTCACACAGCAGATTTAATCCAACCAAGGTCTTTATTATATATGTGGAGATTTAAACAGAAAACAATACACAAATAAACTACGGCACCGTGTCCAGAGGCCAAAGCCTCTTCTTAGTTCTCCCTGAGTCGGGAGGGAAACTCAACCGAGGAAGGATGATGCAGCCTCCGGTGTCGGGAGGGAAGCTCCACCGAACTCACGGCTGGAAAAGGGTCCAAGAAGGAAACAAAACGGCCCCGACCGGTGTACTCCGTGGTATTACGCAGGAGTGCTGCAGACAGCCAGAAAGGTTAGACATAAATCTTCACTGAAAACGCTGTTCAGACTTACGTGGACTAGAACCGGACTGACAACGCGCCGGAGGACAGCTGGGGTATTTAAGTCCGTCGGAGATGATCACTGGAACTCCCCACAGCTGAGCCTGGGGAGAGGGGCGTGGTTGGAGACGGAACTCGGGGGTGGAAAACTATAGGATGACACAAAAACAAAACATAAGCACATGGCCTTCAAATAACAAAACTGACAGGGGAAAAAACAGAGGAGCACACACTAGGTCAGACCGGGATCCTAACACATAATGTGCAAAAGCATTTTTAGAATGAATATCCAAACGTCGTCCTGGGCAAGTTTTGACCGCCCTACAGTCAAGTGATCATCAATACGGATCAGTGGCTCATTGAATAACTTTTTTTCACGGTGTGTGTGGCAGGAACACGGCTGGAAGGAAGTGGTGTATGAGACAGGATTTCAGGCAAAGGTAATCTGTGGAATATCTATCTATCTCTCCATACAAAGATGTTCTGTGCTGACAGAGCTTGACCACCTCCTGTTCCTTCTCTTTCAGGCAGATTCCAGACTGAGAGCTCTCAGTGCCACCTTCAGGGTGAGAAATCCAGACAAGTAAGTTAGTGTTTCTGACACACCATGGAAGAAGGGCTCAACTGGTCAAAAGTTTAATGTCAAAATAATTCATCCCTTGTTTTTGAGAGTTGGAGCTGTGTGTTTATCAAAGCTGACTTGATGTAATAAGATTATTTTCCAGTTCCTGAAATGTGCTCCACCCAGTGTGGATCAATTTAGGGCAGCAACTAACAACTATTGTCATTATCAATTATTATTATTATTTTCTTGATTCAATTAAACATCAATAAACATATATATATAATAAAAAAATACCAAGCGCAAGCAAGAGCACCTTTTAATGATTAATTGATTATTAAAATAATAATAAATACTGTTACAATCGGCTGAAAAGAAAAAGTCAACTTATGAAAAAATACATATCTAGGTAGAAAGAAGGTAAGGGAATTGTAATCACCGTCTCTTGTACATGTCCTCGTTCTCAGACGCTTCATGGAGATGAAACACTACAGCGATGAGCTGCAGTCTCACACATCTCAGCTGCTCCGAGCACGAGCAGTAAGTCTCTATACCTCTCTCTCTTCCTTCATGCTTCACATCTAAAAGAGTAGACGCCACAAGCAAAAAACGTTGTTTTTCATACACTGATCAATTTAGAGATTGTCGGTTCAGACTACTGGAAAGAAACATTCATTGTCTAAAACATTTTACGACATTGTCTATTTGCGTTTGTGGATTTCCCTTAAAATCACCAAAGGTTACTAAATTCATTAGATAATGCTTAATTTGCATATTTCCATGGAGATGTCTATTAGTGCAGTTATTTTTTATACGGTATATAAAAGAAAACACTCCTGACACCCGCTTGGCTTCTCAGGCTGGAAATCTGAATTCCATCAAGAAATATTCGCTATACTTTTTAATAGGTTGAACACTTGCTGTCATGTATTTTCTGTGTCTCTTCTAGAGGGTGGCAGATCGTCTCTACGGTGTTTACAAGGTCCACGGGAACTACGGAAGAGTCTTCAGGTTTTTTAAAGCACATCTTTAAAAAATGACCAACAGAGGATCAGAATTGCTGATTCATGTTTATTGTTTCCAATGTCCCATTGTCAAGTCAAATCTTGGTGTGCACTGTTAGGTCGATAGGCGTCGTCGAAGAATAACTTATATTGCTATAGAACAAAAGGAATACAGCACACTGTCAGTCAGAGATATTTTATATTAACAAGGTTTTGGTACATCAGGTTATTTTACCAGACTAAAGGAGAGAATATCTTAAATAGGTTGGTGGACCCATGTGGACACAGTTCACACTACAAACTGACCTCACTCAATCAATCAAATCAGTTAAGTATCATATCACATCACAGCAACATAGGCCAAAAATATGAACTCATTATTATCTCTTTATCCTAAAAGCTTCATGTTGCTTTAGCAGCAAGTTTAAGATCGCCACCTCTATATAGTAGGCTTACAGCTACCTTTTCAAGATAATATTTTCTCAAATGCAGCAGTGTGTGTGTGTGTGTGTGTGACAGCGTCTCCTCTGTGTGTTCACTGCAGCGAGTGGAGCGCCATAGAGAGAGAGATGGGAGATGGACTGCAAAGTGCAGGTCATCACATGGATGCGTGAGTATTTGACGCATAATCCCATCTGTCTCTGTGATCATGGTTTTGTGCAATCTAACACATACATTTAACACGTACTGCAGGATTGGTACTGCCACTGCCAACTGTGTCGCTTGTTAATGCAGATGTTGTTTTTTGTCACTGACCTGTAGATATGCAGCCTCAATAGATGATATCTTAGAAGAGGAGGAACATTACGCAGACCAACTGAAAGAATATCTTTTCTATGCTGAAGCTCTGAGGTAAGACACACTTTTTATCTTCACACAAGATTTTAAAGACATGGTGGCTCCGTGAACATTATAATGTCCCCAGTTGAAGCCTGAGACAGTACTTGATACATACTTGTTTAAGGCCCTCTAACCACACTCTTTAAGAAAGGAGAGTTCAGATGTTTATGTCGCCACATAGTTGCTGAGATTCCTTAGAGCATTCCTGTGAGCAACTGGAGGAAAGACGTTGGCAAGGAAATTTGAAATAATTTGCCCCAAAGAACTGAAATCGACGAGCAAAAAAGCCAACACGCAAAAACAAAGGCTTCTAGTTTCATGGGAGTAAACTGGTAATCCCGTACTGGTTTATGTTCTCCCACTTGCGCTGATCCACACTGGGTGTGGTGATCCTCATGTGGGTGGAGAGACTTTAGACAGTGTGTACACACAGTCCCTGTAATATTATACTGATACCACACAAGTCCTTTAATGTTGTATAACCGCTGATACCAGTCCAATCCGATACCTACATTAAGTTAAAGGTTCTCTATACAATATTCAGAGCTTTAATATAGCATAAAATAACTATTACTCCACTGTATCTTTATATAGAGGAGTAATGTCTCCCGTAATCAGAGCGTCTCTGTGCTTTGTTGACACAGCCGGGCTGGCTGGTTCCCCCTCAGGTAAACACTGTTAGCACTGACAGCTCGCCGCGTGCCGTGTGGAGGCAATATATACACGCACAGAATTTTTAGATGAAACATGATGTGACGCGATCCGCTGTAGAGAAGACGTCTCACTCTGTTCACCCTCCACAGTCCACCCCCGGTTGTACAGTGGTGTTACAGACTGGAGGGTCCTACCCTCACAAAACATCTTTGGCTGAGTACAGACAACAAGCTAGTTTATTAAGGTCTGATATCAAGTTACTCACGTAGTCTACAACGAATCCGCTTCTACATGAATGCCTTGTACATTGCTCTCTGCTAATAATCATTAGAGAGCATTATATTTAGAGAATTTAGACATTTAGCGTTTTATTTAGAGAATAATAATAGAGCAAAGCGAATCTGTGCATTTTGGCAACTTTACTGTCTAAACTGAGAGTCACCAGTGCGCTCATTGAATTTTTCACAACAACACACTCTTAATTCTCACCCAACGTACAGCAGAATGCTTGCACTGTAGATTCCAACTGTAGTAAAGTTCAGTAAAGTAAGGATCAGAATTTGATCGGCTTTATTTGAGCTAATACCAATATGCCTGGATCTGCTAAAATATCAGAATTCCACAAATATTAAGGTGACGTTAACATTTTGTAAAACGTCTTGAATATTCCTGGAATTTTGCAACGCAAAACACATCTGTGTTCTCTGGATATTGGCACTCTGTGTTCCTCTACTATGTTAAAGTGTGCATGACATTATGTAGCATGCTTTCTTTGGCAGGGCCGTGTGCAGGAAACACGAGCTGACCCAGTTTGAGCTTGAGATGGCCTCCCAAGACCTCATCTCCAAGAAGCAGCAACAGGAGGAGCTAGCTACCGGGGTACACTATACTCATGTCATATATGTAATCCTTCACTCTGAAGCAGGGATGGCTGCTTTTGTCATGTCAAACCGAGGCAAGACAACTTCCAGACCGTTGTGGTTTCCTGTGTTCACACCTTCCTTAGATTGTGCGGACGTTCTCCTTCAAAGGCATGACCAACAAGCTTTTTGGCCAAGAGGCCCCTGAGCAGAGGGAGGCCAGGCTGAAGCTGCTGGAGGAGCTGATCGCAGAGGGGGAAGAGACCGTCAAGGAGAAGACGGTTGAGTGCGAGTGAGTCATGGATACTGCTTAAAGGGGTCGATCTGATGTTTAGAAGTGACTTGTAGTCAGTGTATTACCAAGCAATGTACTGCTGTGGACGTATTTTAGACAGCTAAAAAAATCTATATTAGTTTAGGTGTACTCTATATTTAGAATATTTTCACCACTTTACCTTGCTCGGTATAGCTCACTCTTCAAAGCAACCAGACTCCTTGACAGAAACAGTTATGTTACCTCATAGAACACAGGAGTTGCTGGACTATCTTTGCCTCAGTTGGTTAGTTTGTTTGTGTTATTGCGTGACTTTGTTTTTTTTAACCTGTTAAGGCCTTTACACACCGGGGACGTGGCCATTAAACAAAACAAAAATGCAAAAATACTTGCCTGTGAATAGTTTGCATCAAAACTAATCACACTGGCAGCGATGCAAATTTGCGACAATTTAGCTGAGTCAGAGGAACAAATACTTGAATCCTTTCTACCCAGAGCAGTGCCTGGGTAGAAGTTACTCTAAGCTATTATATTGAGTTTCCTTTTAGCGAAATGCTCTGAGTGAATTCGAGTTTCCCCTGGTCAACAGTTACACAGTGTATATGTCTAGGGCTTTTATTGTGAAAGGTAAGAACAGAAGCAGTGGATCTGGTCTGTGCTTACTTTGTCAAGGCTGAAAGGAGTAATGAAGTTTACCGTCTAGGTTTCGGAGCACAGAGCCTCCGTGTTTTGAATATGTCCATTCCTAGCAACGTGATAGGTTGACACCTTTTATTAGTGGTGTGAAAGCTCCGGGAAATCGATCTCCATCTGGAAAAAAACCCCGTTGTTTTTTCGCTGTGCTACTCATGACAAAAACAACGACAACATTATTGGTGCGATTACTTCGCAGGTCAATATTTTTTTTGAGCTTTCACACAATACGTGACTGTCTGTCAGTTTCTCCAAACTATACACTGACTTTGAGTCGGAAGACTAGAAAAGTGCTATTCAAGTACAAGACCATTAACCATGAATCATTGTGAGGTTTATCATTTACCATTTATCATTACCATATCATTATTGTATGAGAAGTACCTCATACAACCACACTTCTAAACATCCAAAATATCCCTTTACTGCAGCCTAAAGGGTTTTTCTGACATCTAAAAAGCACATGTCCTGTCCATGTCAATGGTTATAGATGATTAGATTTTCCCATTTCGTGTGTGTGCTTTATTTGGCGTGTTTCCCTTTAGAGAGCACGTTGAAAGGGCGTGGGTGGATATGCAGCGCTTTAAGGAGCAGAAAGACAAAGATCTGCGAGAAGCGCTCATCAACTATGCCGTCATGCAAATCAGCATGTGCAAAAAGGTACAGAACAGCGCATCAGCTATGGGAAGGTGACAGGACAACTCTAGTGTTCATGTTCATGATCAAGTGTTTCTTCTCTCTTCCTTTAGGGAATACAAATGTGGAGCAATGCCAAAGAATGTTTCCTCAAGATGTAAAGTTGAAGCCATATTCAAAGGATTTTCACCCTCAGTGATGCTCAGTTGGGAATGCTGGGAAATGATGCTAATGTCTGCTGGTTGAGGTTTTAAAACAACCGTAGCAAAGTAACAACATTGCATATAAAGATAATGTAGTTTTAAGTACACAAAAAGTAGGGATTTGCTTTCACTGTTAAAGGGAAAGTTCACCCCAAAATGAATAAGACATATTTATGTTCCTCTCACCTGTAGTGCTATTTATCAATCTAGATAGTTTTGGTGTGAGTTGCCGAGAGAAGGCAGAGAAACATGAAAACCTCCATGAAACTGCTCACAACAAAGTCTGTGGATTATCTTGAGTAACCGAGGTGGTGATTTCTGGGAAGAGATGTTGACTTTTTCAAATGTATTCAGTGCCATCTAGTTCTATTATACTGAAGAGAAGGCAGACCGATATCTCCAACACTCAACACACAAGTAGATTGATAAATAGAACTACAGGTGAGAGGAAAAATGTGTAATTTTGGAGTGAACGCTCCCTTTAATCTTTTGTGGAGTGATACGGCTCAGGGAGGTGGAGGATCACGCAAAGCACATGACTGGGACACCGGAGACCAGGGTTGACTTTATCAATATTTAACCAAGACCATTTTCTCTCTCCTTAAAAGAGGGACTTCAACAATTCTTACAGACAGAAATACAGCCAACGCTGAAGTGAAGAGATGAACATGAACGTGAAGTAATCCAGATGATCTGCTGTTAAACAGATAAAACACCTGACCAGTGTCACCTCATAGACTAGGACATACTACCATCTAGTGGTCAAAATGTTGTGGTCTATACAGCTACAACTATTGACATACAGCTGACTTTTTTATATATATATATATACGTAAACATGCAAAATGGCTTCTACAGACATAATCATCCAGATTTTAACTCCTAAATATCAAACATGTTTCAAATGATCACGTCGGCCCCGTTCAGGAGGTTTAAGACTAGATCTGGAACCCCCAACATTACCTGATAATCTGTGGCGAACGTCAAGACCAATTAAAGTCCCAGACCAGATTTGTCTTCTGATTGTTGGGACGGGTAAACCGGCCCAGAACTCCTGTAGTCTGAGCGCAGCTTTCGCTTACTACTTACACTTAAAATCTGTCACTGTTTTATTATGAAATGTTTTTTTGTGTATCAGACTATTAAGAGCAAAACTAAGACTGGCCTAACAATACAGAGCAGTCTGAAATATCTTTGTGAAGCCGGACCCAGAGGCGTGTTGCGTATTTTATCAGTTCTTCATTAGCTAACATGCAGTGCTGTCCCCCCATAATATCAAATTGCAAGATGCCTCTTTTTTGTCCTCTTTCTACTCCTTTGACAATGTTCATGACGTATAAGGTCGCATTGCACTCTGGACTAGTAATGCTCATAAATCCATTATTTCTTGGTGAGCCGTCACGAGAATGTCTTGCAGTCCATAAGAGTTCATGTTTACTTGTCTTGGTTTATTGTGATGAGTGAGTGTGGAATTTGACCAGAACTAAAAGACAGCAATGAATTGAATGAAAGCTGAGCTACAGGTGTGAAAGTGACTTGAGCTGCCTAAATATTAATCTGATTTTTTTTTTTAAAAACATCATCTAAATTGCATTACATTTCCTCCACTTCCCTCTGCCGTGAGCTACTTGCTTACATGAATACATCTATCAAAGTGAGGAGGCTGTAAGATGTTGGTTCCATGTGGTGCTGTCCAGTATGCTGCACGTAAGAGTCATGATACTCAGTCTAAGATTTTTAGTTCACTTTCATTGAATTTAACCTCCATTTATTGACCTGTCTTACATGTTCCACCTGTTTCATTAACATTTTATTTTCTGTTTGGGAGGCGTGCCAGCAATAAGCTTTGTGTGCATTAATGACATTTTCATAACTCCATTTGTCCATGCCCTTTTATATTTTAAATTTGAATGCTTGATTTGGATGTATTGCTATTGATTGTTCTATTTATTTAAATAAAAATGTGTCACACCACACGACAGTATTTGTATGTAATTTTTCTTGTGTACTTAGAATACACAACATTGACAAAGAAATACAAATTAATTTTTTATAATCCAGAAATAGTCTGATCTTAATCTTAATTCTAATATTACATATAGAAGACATAATTTGACACAAATACACACATCAGTACAGTACAACACTCACCACGTTTTGTAGAAAATATTTAAATATTTAAATATATTTTCTTTGTAATTGTAATATTTAACGCTTGATTGTTGGCTTTGAGATCATGTTGTGCAACAAAGATTTAATCTAAAAACCTAAAAAATCTTGTGTGGTTGATAATAATAAAGCTTATTTATAGAACACATATCAAAACAAACATCAAGGTGTTTCACAGACAGACATAACTCAAGTTTCCACATCAATATATATTTACAAACACATGGATAAATCCTAACGAGGTCTGTAAACTACAAGTAGCCTACAGATTGGATCTAACAGGAAGTGACTGTTTATTTGACTTCCGGTTTATTCTTTGAAGGCGGCTGAAAACTGTCCTATTTGACCTCAGTTTTTTGTGCCCCCTGCTGCTGCTGCCTGCTCTCGTCTACTTTCCAGGCGAGAAGCAGCTCATCTCAAACGAGCCTACTGGAATTGGGCCAGAAAGTACAAGCGACCTTTAAAACCCACAATGCACTGCTGCCCCAGCAGTCAAACCTCTTCCGGGTTTGCACAGCACCCCACCTGCGTGGTATCAGACTGAAGTAATATCAACAAACTCTCTAATTATGAATGGAGACGAGGACAAGGAGTTCAACGTGTTTGTGGCTCTCCACGCCGGGGCCCTGCAGTCCTCAAGGATCCCCACAATCTACTGGAGGAGCCTCCATCACAAAATCACCAACGAGGTCTGTCACCCGGCAAACTGCACCCTGTCACACGTTGAGCTGTGAGAAAAAGTCACTCTTATGGTTTAATGACTGTAGTTCAGCCGTTTAACACACCGCAGTTAAACAGAAATATACATTTTGTCATACTGTCCGTCTTTTCAACTAGATTGAACAACGGCAGTTCAGAGGAAAATAAGGCCATGACAGATGATATCCTTTTATCTAAAATAAGCACCACCTTATCTTAAGTTACGCTGACACCCGGCTAATATCTGCGATGGTAGCTTCACTAGCTTACATCTGCTAAGGGAAGCAATCTCGCCTTAAAAGAGACAGTTACACTTTTGCTTCATTGTTTGCAAACACACGCATCGGATAAAACATGGCTAAAACTTTACCAAATGTATATGTTCCTGGGTTCAACTCGGGATGTATTGTAGCCACTAATCGGTCTGTTGTTTAATGAACTTTCCATCTGCACCTCCTATTGCCACGTTGTGATGTGTGTATGCGTTTTGTATCGTTACGTGTTCAATAATTGGATGGGAAGAAACTTTGAAATTTTAAATAAGTGCTACTTGCGGTATTTGATGTATGCCGAGGTTGAAGAGTGGAACTAACAATGTGTTAAACTCGTTTAGGAGTGCTGAAGATGAGAAGAAATCTAACTTTAAAATTGACAAATTCTCTAATGGTTTTTGGTGGTGACATGATGAAAACATGAATATTGTTGTTGCATGCACTAGATTTACGATGCTGGGGAAGTTTTTGGAATCGGGCATTTCCAACAAGAAGAAGACGAGGAAGGTGGAGAGGATGAGGAGAGGAAGAAGGACAATCCTGGAGCAGTGTTCCGCTGTAAAGTGGTTGTGACCCAAGAGAGTGGGCTGCAGGTCTCCGAGCCGACCAGGTGAGGGCGCCATCGGCCAGACAACCCCCCTTGACCAAAGGATTTAACAGTATTTTATTTAATCAATGAAAAAAACATAAATAATCATGAATAAATTGAGTATATAACAATATGAGTATATCATTATTATTGTGAAATGTTATTTCATCATTCGATCAATAAATTTTATTTAAAATGGAGATTCACCATGCAGCATGGTCCAATACACTTTACAATTTAAAAACTAAATACATAGAACAAAGCACACAACATATTACAACAATAAACTTTGAAAGTAAAACATCGGTGCTAAAGTGATATTCAAAGGGAGATGGACCCGTGGAGGCTGTTGCATTGCCTACTCTACACACTTCAGGAAGGCTGTTGGGCAACTGTGGCTAAGTGGAGAGCAGGGCCATCCTTCAATCAGAGGCTAGTTGCATGTCACTGTGTCCTTGAGCAAGACACTTAACCCCAAAATTGCTCCCGTAGCTGTGATGGGATCTGAATTGTAAGTCGCTTTGGATAAAAGCATCTGCTAAATGACTGTATTGTAATGTTATAAAGCGAATCATAATAACTTAATAGAAAAAAATGATATTTTTTATTTAATTATAGACATTTTGTTTTTCATTCCCTTTTTCATTTCAAAACATTTCCCCAGATTACACATTTCATGTCAAGTTTTATTTCACAATGTCACTTTTCATAAATGACATTTAATTTCATAATATCACTTTGTAATACATAATGTCTCTTTCCATGACAGTGGTGTTGTCACCGCCCTCCCTCCTTTCAGGAAATGGTAAACTGTCGTACCAGAGGCTTAAAATTGTCAGCTTTTGAGGAATATCATCGCATGCAAATCATAACCACGAGAAGAGACGGTGTAAATTTATGCAACGTGTATTTAAACTCATTTTCTCAATCTCTACCATCATTTCACATGAGTGCTGAAGTTTAGCTAACTCTGGTGTAAACCTCCTTTTAAAAATGACGACAGCCATGCTGGTGTGTGACATTCATCAACAGCGTAGCCTACACAGAGCCTAATTGGCTGGAAAGACCTCTCGTGAGAAGAGATGTGTAAACACAGACGTAGAATCCATATTTTGCTATCGGGGAAACAAATTGAAATAAAACTGACTAAAACCAACTACTAATTCTAACTAAGCGCTGTTGTGGAAGATTTCTGAGTTAATCGGGAGAAGAGAGTTTTGTTCACAAAACAACAATGAAGTCTTCAGAAGATTCAAAGTTGTTTTTTTCCGTTTATTCTCTTGCAAGAGGGAAGAAAGCACATCAGCTACGTATTCAGTAGACTGTGTGAATGCTTCAAAATAAGTAACACACAGGCTCCTTTATTTATACAGCAACAAGTTAGATTCAAAGTGCAGCACCCACGAGGGCTTATCTGCTGCATCCAGCTGACTTTTCACAGCTTTGATACATTCAAGGTGACATGAGGTGTTTTCAACCACCAGTTCTGATTACTGCTTAGTCTGCACTTTCTTTACTCCATGTAAAGAACACTCTGCAAGTAGTTTTGCTACTTTTTCAGTAGCCATTTTCCTTAATAGATGACACGTAAGTTTTCGAGTTCACATCGAGGACACAAAGTTCAAATGCACATTTTACCATTACAGTGCCACAAAATGGTGAAATTGTTGTACATTATGGCTTTATTGACCTACATCATACAGAGGGCGAAATTATTGTACAAATACGATCATTATTGTACGCCTGGCAACAGGCTGCTAGCTGAAGAAACATGGGGATTGTGATTGGCCGAAAGGTGAGAGGGCGGTAACTGTCAAGAAAAGTGAGATATGAAATATAAAACAGTGTGAAATTGTTATTGGGTAAAAATTCCAATATCAAATAAATGCTGACTTTTAAAAGAAGAATTTTGAAATAAAAAATGAGTCCTGCAGTTATAAGGAAAATTAGAAGGATGAAATAACATTTTTTAAAAATGAATTATTCCTTTTTAAGTGATTACTTCGTTTTTAGATATTTATTAAAAAATGCACACTTTGGAGCTCCATAATCAATAATTGTTACAGACCGATTAATCGTTTTTGTCATGTGTACTTTAACACAAGAACACTAAGCGTGGAAAAAAGCTATGTAATATTTTTCTGGAGCAAGTTTTCCGAGTTTTTGCACCGCGAATAAAAACCAGTCATGTTGTGCAGAACGAACATGTTCAATAAGTACACTTATATTGTATAACAACACAGCTCTGTAGTCTGAACCAAGAAGTCAAACTTTATTACTCATTTTAACCTTCACAAAGGCAGCACAGACTAGATCCACTTCTACTATTAACTTTCACAATAAAAGCCCTAGACATACAGACATAGGGAATATTTCTAATTCACTCTGAGCATTTTGCTCAAAGGAAACTCAATAAATTACCTTTCAGTAGGTGAGGTTATATGACTGCCAGACTCTGCTCTGGGTCAATAGGATCCTGGTCATTGGTCCTCTGCCTGCGAGGATCTATTCAAACCTTTTGTTGAAATAGTGTTGCCACTGTTGCAAATTTGCATCTGATGGACATTTATATATTAATTTGAATTAAAAAATGCACCTTAAATTTAGTTTTTACAATGAGCTGCTGACCTGAGCTTCGGTCCATGTTCCACTACCAGTGTCTACCTGGTGGATCACGCCTGGACGTACCGCGTGGACCACGCCCGTCAGCAGCTGGAGCAGTTCCCCGGCCTGCTGCCCAGAATGGCCGACCTCATGGGGGTGGACTTCCACGGCGAGGCCCCTGACCCGGACACGGTGGAGCTGGTGATGGAGCGCATGTGGAAGTACAACCAGACTTATGAACTCTCCCAGGGGGTACGTCAGAAAACCTGATCCACCCTCTCATTCTCGCTTACCACACTTCCTTCTACTGTGGCGGTCCCACAGGGGCCATGGTGTGTCCCTGCATGACATTATTTACTCTACCAGATAGATTAGACAGCCACTATGCAAGTCTACCATTACACTGCTTTTACATGCCAGGATGAGGATTGCAGTAAAAGCGCAAAAAAAAAAAAAGAATACGCAAATTTCGACCAAACTGCTGAAACTCGGAGAGCCGGTGAAAACAACACGGCTATCTTATAATCTTCACGTTCACCATGAAGTGAACACAGATAGGTTTATTATTTATGAGGAATCAAATCATATCTGAGACTAAATGATTTGCCACTCAACAAATGAAGAGAAATCATGTGAACTTATAAAAGAGGATGATTGATACTACTTTTCTAAAAGATCAATTATATTACTAAAAATAGAAAAAATGATTCTTTACAATACCACTCACGATGAAGACTAAAGGTTGTAAAGGTCACAATTGTTTTGTCTTCAGGTGTAAAAACCACAGAACGCTCTACTTGCTGTTTCCGCTGAAGGCTGGGTGTCTACAGGTGTTTGCTCACCTGTAGTTCACCACAGTTTCACAATGTTGCAACGATGTTTAATCTACAATTAGTTAGTTAATTCATTAACTGATTAGTTGAACTCTCCAGGGAACTGAAGAGAGAGGCAGGTTTTTGGTGGGGTGGGTCTCTGCCATTTTAGGTGGCTACCACCTCACCACAAAGAAGTTTGCTCGGTTACTGTCACACTTTTCATAATAAAGCTGACGACATACTTATGTGAAACCGTTGAACCAGCAGCCGTTAGACGTATCAGTAGGTAGACGTATCAGTAGTGAGACAGTGAGATTGGGCTTTAGTTCTCAGCCGATAGCACAATTGCAGACGTAAAAACACATTAGCCTCTCTGTCCTCCTCCTCCTTACTCTTGTCGTCCTGCTGTGTTTTCCCGCACAGTCTCCCGAGGATAAAGTACCGGTGTGGTACATCATGGATGAGTTTGGCTCACGGGTGCAGCACTCCGACCGGCCCAGCTGCAGCATGGCTCCCTTCTTCTACGTTCAGGGCGGGCTGGCCTACTCTGTGCTCTGGCCCCTGCAGGACCTGCAGGGCAGAGGTGAGAACGCACACCACACCACACTATACACATACACACACACACGTATGTATGTATGTGTATATGTGTATATATATGTATGTGTATATGTGTACAGTTGTGTGAAAAAGTGTTTACCCCCTTCCTGATTTCTTATTTTTTTGCATGTTTGTCACACTTAAATGTTTCAGATCATCAAACCAATTTAAATATTAGACAAAGATAATACAAGTAAACACAAAATGCAGTTTTTAAATGAAGGTTATTATTATTAAGGGGGAAAAAAAATCCAAACCTACATGGCCCTGTGTGAAAAAGTGATTGCCCCCTAAACCTAATAACTGGTTGGGCCACCCTTAGCAGCAACAACTGCAATCAAGCGTTTGCGATAACTGGCAATGAGTCTTTTACAGCGCTGTAGAGGAATTTTGGCCCACTCATCTTTGCAGAATTGTTGTAATTCAGCCACATTGGAGGGTTTTCGAGCATGAACCGCCTTTTTAAGGTCATGCCACAGCATCTCAATCGGATTCAGGTCGGGACTTTGACTAGGCCACTCCAAAGTCTTCATTTTGTTTTTCTTAAGCCATTCAGAGGTGGACTTGCTGGTGTGTTTTGGATCATTTTCCTGCTGCAGAACCCAAGTGCGCTTCAGCTTGAGGTCACGAACAGATGGCCGGACATTCTCCTTCAGGATTTTTTGGTAGACAGCAGAATTCATGGTTCCACTTACCACAGCAAGTCTTCCAGGTCCTGAAGCAGCAAAACAGCCCCAGACCATCACACTACCACCACCATATTTTACTGTTGGTATGATGTTCCTTTTCTGAAATGCCGTGTTACTTTTACGCCAGATGTAATTGGACATACTCCTTCCAAAAAGTTCAACTTTTGTCTCGTCAGTCCACAGAGTATTTTCCCAAAAGTCTTGGGGATCATCAAGATGTTTTCTGGCAAAACTGAGACGAGCCTTTATGTTCTTTTTGCTCAGCAGTGGTTTTCGTCTTGGAACTCCACCATGCAGGCCATTTTTGCCCAGTCTCTTTCTTATGGTGGAGTCATGAACACTGACCTTAATTGAGGCAAGTGAGGCCTGCAGTTCTTTGGATGTTGTTCTGGGGTCTTTTGTGACCTCTTGGATGAGTCGTCGCTGCGCTCTTGGGGTAATTTTGGTCGGCCGGCCACTCCTGGGAAGGTTCACCACTGTTCCATGTTTTCGCCATTTGTGGATAATGGCTCTCACTGTGGTTCGCTGGAGTCCCAAAGCTTTAGAAATGGCTTTGTAACCTTTTCCAGACTGATAGATCTCAATTACTTTGTTTCTCATTTGTTCCTGAATTTCTTTGGATCGCAGCATGATGTCTAGCTTTTGAGGATCTTTTGGTCTACCTCACTTTGTCAGGCAGGTCCTATTTAAGTGATTTCTTTATTGAGAACAGGTGTGGCAGTAATCAGGCCTGGGTGTGGCTAGAGAAATTGAACTCAGCTTTCCAAAGATGTGATAAACCACAGTTAATTTATGTTTTAACAGGGGGGGCAATCACTTTTTCACACAGGGCCATGTAGGTTTGGATTTTTTTCCCCCTTAATAATAAAAACCTTCATTTAAAAACTGCATTTTGTGTTTACTTGTGTTATCTTTGTCTAATATTTAAATTTGTTTGATGATCTGAAACATTTAAGTG